CTCTCCTGTCGATCTCAGCTAGGGGATGTAATATACCAAACGATTTGTATTAAAGTGAGCCATCCGAATATGTGCTCCATGTTTGTGTAATTACGTCCTACGTGAAGATATCAACTTATATGAAAAAGTGAGTTTTTAAAAGTAAGTCTGTTTTTACGACCCCTTGGAAGGTCTTTTGAAGTTCAGTGAGGGACTTGGTTTACACTTTTGCAATATCCCAGATTGCACAGCTAACAGACAGCTAGGCCCCAGCTCCGTTGGGGGTTCTATAGCTCTGGAGCTCCCCTGCTGTGTCTTGACTGCCTGTGACCTCTGTCATCACCCAGACCACATGTCACTCAACAGAGAGGGAGGGGGGATGATTGGAGGAGAAAGCCTGCTTTGGGAGGGAGAGAGATGATGCAACATGGAAGGGTTCTTAACAAAATGGAGGACCGCGTCCATCTCTGTGTGCACGATTGCTACACTCCCTGCAGCCTTTACTGGCAATTACCAACTGTCAAAATGACAGCCATCAATTGCTTTGTATTACACAGCTGGAGGAGGCAGGGCCATCTTTTTTGCATGGGCATCGCTAGACACTGCCCAAGGGAGGCTCCGCCCCCGACTCATTTCATCATACAAGACCTCTACTAGCCATGAAAGCCATCTGGTATGATGAAATGCGTCGGGCGGAGCTAGACACTGCCCAGGGGCCCCAGGTATATGGGGGGGGTCCCTGCAGTCCAAAGCAGGGGGGATCACGTGTACAGGAGGGGGTGATCGGTGTGCAAGGTGGGGGAAATAACTGGAACCCATCTTCTGTGTGACTCTCACTGCAGCAGAAAGACCCACAAAAGATCGATTCTAGTCATTTCCCTCACCCGACGCAATGATCACCCCCTCCCGTCCACTATCGGATTTTTCCACCCCCCCCCCCTGTGTTTACCGTGGTCCAGTTTATGAATGAACAGGAGCCTCTGTCTCCTGTTCATTCATCTGCAGTGCAGTTGAGGCTGCAGAAAGGAACTGAGGACTGTGTTTCTTCAGTCCCTTCCTCTGTCTCTGTCTCCTCTGTTTCGCAACAGCTGGAGGGCCGCCAGTTTGACACCCCTCTTCTAAGCAGACTAAAAACACCACACCCAACATGTAGCATCATTTAGCCACACCCACTGTGGCTGCAGGTCATCATCTCCCCAGTAGGGGCCCCAGTGTATTCCAAGATGGCACTGGGAGTAGGCTCCTGTGTAGTGTCACCTGTAGCAATCACTGAGAAAATACAATAGATTGATATAATTGTTACATTGTATTTACTATTTCATTCATTTGTAGATCAAAGAAAGAAACGTCACATAGATACATTCATTATAAACCTTTTATTAACCCTTAGATGACCCTCATCAGCCCTATTGAATCCCTTCCTTTCCTCAGCTATTATTTTTCTGCTATTTTTGTTTTCTATCAGTAATATTTAATTTCTTTCTCTCCTTTGGGAGTGTCTATTTACTTTCAGTGCTGATCCAGCTCCTCCTCCCTCCCTGCATAGCCTTTTACTGTATGAAACTGCTGGGGAGTAGCAAAAGAAAATATTATAGGCAACCCTGGAGAGGCAGAGATCTACCTGAACAAACTGAATTTGGATCAAGGATCCCCAGAGTGCGGCACAATCTTTTTAAAGGGTATAACTTCATAATGTAAGGCAGGGGTCAGCAGTCAGTACCGTGGAATTCAGGGGGTCAGTAACACTCTGTTTAGAGGTAAGTGGTATGTAACATAGAGGTTAGCAGTAGATGGTATATAATACAGAGTTCAGGAGGAAGTAACCTAGAGTGAAGAGGTCAGGAGTAAGTAATGCAGAGTGCTGGGGTCAGTAGTAAGTAATGCAGAGTGCATGGTCAGTCGTATGTAAAACACTATACAGGGGTCAGGAGTGAGTAATGCAAAGTGCAGGGGTCAGCTGTAAGTACCGCAGAGTGCAAAGGTTATTAGTAAGTAATGCAGCTTGCCGGGGTAGTAGTAAGTCATGCAGAGTGCAGGGGTCAGTAGTAAGTCATGCAGAGTGCAGGGGTCAGTAGTAAGTAATGCAGAGTACCAGGTCAGTAGCATGTAAAAACACTATACAGGTGCCAGGAGTGAGTAATGCAGAGTGCAGAGGTCAATAGTAAGTAATGCAGAGTGCTGGGGTCAGTAGTAAGTCATGCAGAGTGCAGGGGTCAGTAGTTAGTCATGCAGAGTACTGGGTCAGTAGCATGTAAAACACTCTACAGGTGCCAGGAGTGAGTAATGCAGAGTGCACAGGTCAATAGTAAGTCATGCAGAGTGCTGGGGTCAGTAGTAAGTCATGCAGAGTGCAGGGGTCAGTAGTAAGTCATGCAGAGTGCCGCGGTCAGTAGTACGTTATGCAGAATGCAGGGGTCAGTAGTAAGTTATGCAGAGTGCCTGGTCAGTAGCATGTAAAAACACTATACAGGGGTCAGTAATAAGTCATGCAGAGTGCAGAGGTCAATAGTAAGTCATGCAGAGTGCAGGGGTCAGTAGTAAGTAATGCAGAGTACCGGGTCAGTAGCATGTAAAACACTATACAGGGGCCAGGAGTGAGTAATGCAGAGTGCAGAGGTCAATAGTAAGTAATGCAGAGTGCTGGGGTCAGTAGTAAGTCATGCAGAGTGCAGGGGTCAGTAGTAAGTCATGCAGAGTGCAGGGGTCAGTAATAAGTTATGCAGAGTGCAGGGGTCAGTAATAAGTTATGCAGAGTGCAGGGGTCAGTAGTAAGTAATGCAGAGTGCAGGGGTCAGTAGTAAGTCATGCAGAGTGCAGGGGTCAGTAGTAAGTCATGCAGAGTGCAGGGGTCAGTAGTAAGTAATGCAGAGTGCCTGGTCAGTAGCATGTAAAACACTATACAGGGGTCAGTAGTAAGTCATGCAGAGTGCTGGGGTCAGTAGTAAGTCATGCAGAGTGCAGGGGTCAGTAGTAAGTCATGCAGAGTGCAGGGGTCAGTAGTAAGTAATGCAGAGTACCAAGTCAGTAGCATGTAAAACACTATACAGGGGCCAGGAGTGAGTAATGCAGAGTGCAGAGGTCAATCGTAAGTTATGCAGAGTGCTGGGGTCAGTAGTAAGTCATGCAGAGTGCCTGGTCAGTAGAATGTTAAACACTATACAGGGGTCAGGAGTGAGTAATGCAGAGTGCAGAGGTGAATAGTAAATAATGCAGAGTGCTGGGGTCAGTAGTGCGCAACACACAATGTGGGGGTCAGGAGTAAGTAATGCAGAGAGCAGGGTCAGTACCACAACACAAATTCCCCTCTGCTTCCCAGAAATGTACCCACAGACCTCAGATGAAAGGATGCCCAGAGAAATGAGGTAAGTCCTCCCAGGCGACCTTTTGCCTGTGGCACATGACTGTATAAAGCTGAGAAGGAGCCTCAGCTGTGCCACGCCTATTACCACTTGGACCAGAGGTCTGAGAGAGGGAGCCGGTGAGGTCAGGGGCCGGTGACCCGGTGAGGTCGAGGTCTTCCCATCACATAGCCACAAACTATGGGTAGACTGCTAACGACGAATTGCTGTCCCCTGCTATAGAGTGTGACCACTCTGCTGGGGGACGTCAGACATCACATTCAAGATGGCGGCACCCAGCATCTTCTGGGTTGAACAATGGCCAGAGCCGTTCCTCACCCTTATAACCAGCCAACCAGCATTTTTGGGAGAGCTCAGCAATAGCAGCCTCCATGTCTCCCTTCTGGCAGGTTCCTCAATTCAGAGCCAAGAAATTCATTGGAATCTGTTTTTCGAAAACCTGAAAAAAATAAAATTGATGAGATCTATCCACTTTGTAGAGGGTCACCCAATTCTGTCTGTTAGGAAGCAACGTAAGCCTATTAGCAAAACTTTTTTTTTTTTTAAATTTTGGAAGGGAGAGTTATAACACCCGTCAGGTTTTTTTTTTTTTTCCATCTGTGCTCCATTCCTCTTCACTTCCTGTCTCATCGCCAAAACAGGAAGTGAGAGGAAATCCCTTTAAAGTGAGGGTGTCACCACAACTAGTGAACCCCATTGGAAGATTTCCCCTCTATTCTTGTTCTGGTGACAACCCACAATTTTGGATTTTATTTCTTTTCCACATTCGGTGATAATGGTGAACAGGACGAACAGAGAGAGTGAATCTCTCCAACGGGGACACCGACGGCAAAAAAACCTGACGGGGGTTCTAATTCCGCTCCACTCCATCCAAAACTAAACATGGAGAGCACCCCCTGATGTACAAATCAGGATATCTCTGCTCCTGGGTGACATATTATTATTATTATACAGGATTTATATAGTGCCAAAAGGTTTGCTCAGCGCTGTACATTATAGTGGGGGACAGAACATGCGACAAGACAGTAACAATACAATACACAAGGGGTTCGAGGGCCCTGCTCTATCGAGCTTACAATCTAGGAGGGAGGGGGAGGTGGTACAGGAGGAAGTGGCTGTGGGAGATGGAGTGGTAGGAGGAGTGGAGGAGATCGGCAGTTAGGTGAGGGTGGGGTAGGCTTCCCTGAAGAGGTGTGGGTTTTCAGGGTGCGCCTAAAGGTGAGGAGGGTAGGTGACAGTCTGATGGATTGGGGTAGTGAGTTCCAGAGGATGGGGGAAGTCCTGGAGAAGTCCTGCAGTCGGGCGTGGGAGGTGGAGACCAGGGAACTAGAAAGTAGGTGGTCTTGTGAGGAGCGAAGATTACGGGTTGAGTGGTATTTGGGTATCAGGTCGGTGAGGTAGTTTGGGGCAGTATTATGAATGGCTTTGTATGTCTGTGTTCAGGGGTGGACTGACCATTCAAGCACTCGGGCGCTGCCCGAGGGCCCGCGGTCAGTAGGGGGCCCCATGAGATGCCCCTGGTACCTTTTTTATAGGCTTTTTTGAGTGTGGGCAAGGACACAGGAGCCCCATGATCCCCTATTGCCCGGGGGCCCCATGAGTTGTCAGTCCGCCCGTCTGTGTTAGTAGTTTGAATTTGATGCGTTGGGCAATCGGGAGCCAGTGGAGGGAATGACAGAGGGGGGTGGAGGACCCTGAGTGGAGGTCAGTGGAGGGATTGGCAGAGGGGGGTGGAGGACACTGAGGTGGAGGCCAGTGGAGGGAGACAGAGGGGGGTGGAGGACCCTGAGTGGAGGAGTGGAGGTGGCAGTGGAGTGGAGGATGGAGGGGCAGAGGGGGGTGGAGGACACTGGAGGGAGTGGAGGCACTGAGTGGAGGCCAGTGGAGGGATTGGCAGAGAGAGGGATGGAGGACACTGAGTGGAGGCCAGTGGAGGGATTGGCAGAGAGGGGTGGAGGACACTGAGTGGAGGTCAGTGGAGGGATTGGCAGAGAGGGGTGGAGGACACTGAGTGGAGGCCAGTGGAGGGAATGACAGAGGGGGGTGGAAGACACTGAGTGGAGGCCAGTGGAGGGAATTACAGAGGGGGGTGGCAGAAGAGTAGCGCGGTTGGTAAGGTGGAGGAGTCTGGCCGCTGAGTTCAGGATAGACTGAAGCATGATAGTCTGCGATGAGGTAGGCCGGTGAGGAGGGAGTTGCAGTAGTCCAGACGTGAGATAATAAGGGAGTGAACGAGTAGTTTAGTAATGTCTGGGGTGAGGAACGAACGTATTTTGGAGATGTTGCGGAGGTGGAGTCTGCATGAGTTTGCCAGCGATTGGACCTGGGGCTGGAAGGACAGGTTGGAGTCTAGAGTGACACCCAGGACTTTGGCTTGTGGGGTGGGACTGATGGTGGCGTTGTTGGTTGTGATGGAGAGGATGGGGGGGATTAGGAGCTTATATATGTATTTATTGTACAGAGAAGACTCCGCAGCTCCAGAACTGGATGCTCCATCATCGGCTTTGCTGTAAGAAAATATTTACATTATTTGAGAATTTTAGGGACTTTCCAGCTTTGAACACACCCTGCCAACCACTATATGGCCGCCAGAGTCCTGGGTGGTCATGTGATCTGCCATTCACCCCCTCCTACTAGTGTTTCTCCATGGACAGCTGTCTGGCCAATCACAACACATGGTTGCCTGTATCCTGATCATGTGATCTATCATTTATCCCGCCCATTATATTTTATGGCTAGTTAACTGGCAAACCACAACATGGCTGCCCTTGTCTTGGCTGGTCATGTGATCTTCCATTTATCCCGAATATGAAGTCGGTTCTTTGACAGATAGGCGGCCAACCACAGCATGGCTGCCAGCCTCACATTCTAGATAGATACCTGGCCAACCACAGCATGGCGGCTGACTTCCTGTCCAATCACGAGATCCACCCACACTTCCGGGTCGAGCCATACCCTAGTTGACATCCGACCAATTACAGGTAGGGCGGGCGCCCTGTCACACCTTTCCCCCCACCCCCTGTGCGGTGGCCCGCCCACTCATCCGGCCAACCACAGCATGGCCGCTCTCGGCCGTCAGCTCTCCGCCAAGCCCAACATGGCGGCGGGTCACGTGAGCTGTCACGTTGGGGCGGCGGTGGGCGTGTCGCCAGGGCAGGCTGGCCGGAGAGATGGCGGCGCGCAGAGCGGCTCGGGTGAGGCGGGCGGTGTGAGTGGCGGAGGAGGATCGCCCGGGATGGAGAGTGAGGAGGAGCAGCACATGACCACCCTGCTGTGTATGGGCTTCTCGGAGCCGGCCGCCATCCGCACGGCGCTGCGCCTCGCCAACAACGACATCAACGAGGCGGTGGCGCTGCTGACCAACGAGCGGCCCGGGCTGGAGTACGGCGGGGGGAGGAGCTACGAGCCACCGCCCGCCTACCATGAGGTGGTGGAGCCCGAGGTGAGGGGGAGCCCGACGGGGGGAGGGGCCTGTGGGAGGGACTGGCGGGGCAAGAGACACTGATACCCGGAGACCGGACACCTGGGGGGTGGGGGAGGTGTGACATGTGGGGTGCAGCATGGGTGTGCTGTGGTTGGGGTGAGCCATGACATGTGGGTGTGCAGCATGGGTGCTTGGGTGGGCTTTGGTTGGGGTGAGCCATGACATGTGGGTGTGCAGCATGGGTGCTCAGGGGTGTGCTGTGGTTGGGGTGAGCCGTGATGTGTGGTTGCTTTGGGATGAGCTGTGGCGCATGAGTATGTTGGAGTTGGGGTGAGCCGTGGCACATGGGTGCTTTGGGGCGAGCCGTGGCACGAGGGTGTGCTGAGGCCGGGGGCGTGGCACTTTGGTGTGTTCAGATCGGGGCAAGGCATGGGTGTGTGGGTGCGTTGAGGTCGGGGCGAGCCGTGGGGCGAGGGCGCCTTGAGGTCGGGGCGAGCCGTGGGGCGAGGGCGCCTTGAGGTCGGGGCGAGCCGTGGGGCGAGGGCGCCTTGAGGTCGGGGCGAGCCGTGGGGCGAGGGCGCCTTGAGGTCGGGGCGAGGGCGCCTTGAGGTCGGGGCGAGCCGTGGCGCGTAGATGCCTTGAGGTCGGGGAGAACTGTGGGTGTTTTGGTGTTGGGGCGAGCCGTGGCGTGTGGGAGCTTTGGGGCGAGCCGTGGCGTGTGGGAGCTTTGGGGTATGAAAAAGCGGGTGTGCTGTGGTCAGAGTGGTGTGTGGGTGTGCTGTGGACAGGGCGAGGTGTGGGTTTGTTGGGATTGGGAGAGTCATTTTGTGTGGGTGTACTTGGTTTGGGGGAGGGGGGGATAGTGTGGGTGCTCTTGGGTTGGGGTGAGCCAAGCCAGGTGGGTGTGCTGTGTTTGGGGTGAGCTGTGTGGGTGAATTGGGGTCATAACAAGCCGTGGCAGGTGGGGGTGAGCCGTGCTGTCTGGATGTGGTGCAGTCGAGGTGAGATGTGGGTGTGCTGTGGACAGGGTGATCCGTGGCATGTGGATTTGTTGGGGTGGGGCGAGCCATGACGTGGGGGGGTGCTCTTGGATTGGGGTGAGTTGAGGTAGGTGGGTGGGGTTGAGGCTTGATGTGTGGGTGATCCGTGGTATTTGGGTGCCCTGAGGTTGTGTATGATGCGGGTTGAGGTCGGGGTGACACGTGGCGGCATACCATCTGTAGTTGGGGTTCCCGCTCAGCACAGTGAGCCGTGGAATGTGGTTTTGGGGGGACCCGTGGGGTCTAGGTGTCCGGCCTCGGGGGGCTCAGACAGTTCCAGGCATACATGCACCGCATTGATTGGACGCCGGCGGCCATCACTCCTGGGACACAGCAACACAAGTGATCTCAGCGGTCCTTCCTGAATGATCGGGGGATCGCTGTTCTGCGCATGCGCTGCCACCCCATGAACGGCCCAATCACAGCCAGCGTGTAAACATGAGTATGTGTGATCGGCAGCCCTGAGCGGAGGGGCCAATCGGGGACATTTCCATCGTATCCACTGCGACAATGTTACATGCGCACAGATGACCTACATGCAGGATGTTACTGCCGGGCTTCCCTGTGTGAATGAGCCCCAGTGTGGGGGACCGCGGTGGTGGGAAGTAGTTGATTCTCGGCTGTGAGAGCCAAGTGCACTTTATTTGTGTTTTGTTTAAAGCGGATCTCCACCTTACAGCAGCCACTGGAGATCACTGGAGTAGCGGTGGTGCAGTAGTGGTATAGTAGTGATGCGGTGTTGTAGCAATGATGCAGTGGCGGCAGTATAGCAGTGATGCGGTGTAGCAGTGATGATAGCAGTGGCTAGCGTGATATAGTAGTGATGTAGTAGCGGCGGTGTGATGCAGTAGCAGTGATGTAGTAGCGGCGGTGTAGCAGTGATGTAGTAGCGGTGGTGTAGTAAGCGGCGTAGCAGTGATGTAGTAGCGGCGGTGTAGCAGTGATGTAGTAGCGGTGGTGTAGTAGCGGTGTAGCAGTGATGTAGTAGCGGCGTCGTAGCAGTGATGTAGTAGCGGCGTCGTAGCAGTGATGGTGTAGCGGCGGTCGTAGCAGTGAGTAGCGGCGTCGTAGCAGTGATGGTGTAGCGGCGGTCGTAGCAGTGATGGTGTAGCGGCGGCGTAGCAGTGATGGTGTAGCGGCGGCGTAGCAGTGATGGTGTAGCGGCGGCGTAGCAGTGATGGTGTAGCGGCGGCGTAGCAGTGATGGTGTGTAGCGGCGGCGTAGCAGTGATGGTGTAGCGGCGGCGTAGCAGTGATGGTGTAGCGGCGGCGTAGCAGTGATGGTGTAGCGGCGGCGTAGCAGTGATGGTGTAGCGGCGGCGTAGCAGTGATGGTGTAGCGGCGTCGTAGCAGTGATGGTGTAGCGGCGGCGTAGCAGTGATGTAGTAGCGCGGCGGCGGCGTAGCAGTGATGGTGTAGCGGCGGTGGCGTAGCGGTGATCAGGGTGGATTTGATGTAAATCCTAGTTTTCTACATAAAGAGTAATTCTTGCTGGTATAACTTTAATATACAAGTAGATGAAGATTTTTAGAATAACAACTTTTCATATTAGTTTTTTCTCCCCGTTTAATAGGTTAATCATTCATATTTGGACAACTTTTCTGTTGTACTCAGGAAGGAGAAAAATAATCATTCCCTTAATAATAACAATTTAAATAGATTTATTCATCTGAAACAATAACATTCCAGCAGATGTGATTTGCTTAAACATCCATGTTTGGTAACTAATTTGGCTAAACAAAATCTATATATTTGAAGAAACTTATGCAGGCCATAGATGGGTCGAAAATCGGCCGATTTTTCTTTTAAAAAAACGAACAATCGGTCGTTCAAGTGGCCGACGTTACCACCAATGGTAAAAAAAACCGGCCGATTTTCATCCCGTCTTCTACAGCCGGCAAAAAGTGTCCCTGCAGAGAGCTCCGCTATTTCTGACAGTTCTCTGACAGTTCCTTCACATTTACAGCGGTTGAAACATTGTATCTATTTGTTTCCATTTAGGATACAGATGTTTTTATTTGGAAACAAATAGATACAATGTTTCAACCGCTGTAAATGTGAAGGAACTGTCAGAGAACTGTCAGAAATAGCGGAGCTCTCTGCAGGGACACTTTTTGCTGGACTGGAATTCTTCTTATTTTCATCCTACTTCTTCTTCTTTCTTCTTCTTCTTCTTCATCCTCTCCTCATCCTCATCCTCTTCTTCTTCTTCTTCTCATCCTCAATCCTTCATCCTCATCCTCATCCTCTTCTTCTTCATCCTCATTCTTCTTCTTCATCCTCATCCTCTTCTTCTTCTTCTTCATCCTCATCCTTCTTCTTCTTCTTCTTCTTCTTCATCCTCATCCTCTTCTTTATCATCCTCATCTTCCTCTTCTTCCTCTTTTTCTTCATCCTCTCTTCTTCATTCTTCTTCTTCTTCTTCATTTCATCCTCTTCTTCTTCTTCATCCTCATCCTTCTTCTTCATCTTCTTCTTCTTCATCATCCTCATCCTCCTCTTCTTCATCCTCATCCTCTTCTTCATCCTCATCTTCTTCTTCTCCTTCTCATCCTCTTCTTCTTCTTCTTCTTCTTCTTCTTCCTCATCTTCTCTTCCTCATCCTCTTC